GTTCCAGTAGGGATTTCTTGGTGATAGAAGTCGACTAGAGCACAGGGGACTTCAGACCAAAATAAACTGCTCGACTAAAACTGCTCGACTTCGCCAATCAATGACCCATTTCAAAACAGCAGTTCAGATGTGATTCGGTTTGAAGGCAAAGGACGGAAACGAAGGGAACGAATTTTCTCGAAGGCAAACGTGACTTCTCTGCCTGACAAGTGGTCCCGCAGATTTATGAGAATCACAATTTTTTATCGGTTACTTAAAAACTTTATTGCTATTCTTCCATTTTTACCGTTTTATGTAAGTTGAGCTGGATTAAAGGATGACAAAAGTCCGTTTCTCTTCTCAGTCTGCAGGCGACGACAGTCTGTAACATGACGAGAATCTCGTTTATTCATACTCTCCTAACACCACCGTTCTTCGGATTTTTAGAGCATCTAACTATACGAATGCTGGTAGGAGTGCTTTATGCCTCCATCTGCATTGCCATATCGTTTTTCCCCAAGCTAAGAAATTGAGATTTCCAGGCTTTTCCATTCAAACGGAAGGCAATGCGCGAGGGTTTGGAAGGTATCGGTATTCGAGGGTCGATCCTAACGATCTTCGTGAGGGCTGACGTCCCCCATAATGCGACGACCTTGAGACACCTATCCCATTTTCCTCTACGTGTCATACGTGTTCTGATGGAAATGTCCTAGCATTTTCAATATTTTAGAGGTTCGGTCGCGATTGATATTATCTGTGGAACGTTTCTGGCGCACTACTATTGCATTAAATTTCTTAACAGTTGGTATGGATCTGAGGAACAGGAACGAATGGCTTGGATACGATGTTTTGCCCCAGTTAGGGAAAGGAAATAAGGCTCGAAAGAGGAGACTGCCCTTGCGCTGCAAGAGAGATACCTGATCCTGTATGCACTTTCACACGTAGCTCTCGTTCCTGCTGATGAGGGTAAGGAGGATGGGGGATGGAGCATAAGGGAGTGAATGAAAGAGGGTCAGTCTTTTTGTCCGTGCGAGGACTTCCTCACGTCTTTCGCCTTTCGCCCCATACAGACTATACATATACATATGAATATAGTGTACATATGTCACCCAAGTACAGATCTTTATCTATGTTTCCAATGAAACTTATTCCTGCTCTCTATCTCATACTATCAGCGAGAAGCAAGTTCCAGATTTGACTAATCTTGTATGGCAATAAGGGACACCAAAACTGATATCCGTAGAGTTAAAAACAGCTTGACTTTTCCCTCAGCGTGTCGTTTTCCCTGTGAATGCAAGCAAGTCAGAGTTGTGAAGAAGATAAATTAGATCCCTCGAGAAAACCCACCCCTGGTTGGGAAAGCGACTTTTGCCATAGAGAAACGGAAATATCGGTCTCATTCATGCAGAAGTCAGATTAAAAGTGGGGGGTAATGAACGTATGAATAAGAGATTATCTCTTCTCTCTTGCGTATTGCATGGGAGAAGAGTAGAATGGGATTTTCTTGCGACCTCAATCAATGTATTATACATTTTCCCTTGCAAATTCCGGAAATCGCTGTGACCGAACACCACTCGATCGAATAGTTCTCACAGTTCCTCTCGGATGCATCTACAGTACTCTTGGATAAAGAGCTAATGCAGGAATCTCCTCTTTTTCTGCCCTCCTATGGAAGGGATATTCAATGCGACCATCCGTGCATGGTGACTGTGTTTGGAACGGTTTCTGGCCTTGGAGAAGGAAATATTAATGACCCAAGGTCTGGGACTGCATGTTGCATAGATCATGAAGTGTGCAATATTGACGGGTTTCGAGTACTGCAGTGAGAAGAGCAGGAGATGAGGAATCGATGGGGATGCCATAGAAACTGGGCTAGACCAATACCCATGCACACGCTCAGCCTCTACTGTATATGCCACAATGCTCCCGTGGTCTACGCGTGTGGCTATTCATAAAGGATGGCGATTGCAGGGAATCTATACGCCTCTCGCTTCGAGTACCGTTTGCATTCGTCGATTTATTCCTTGCCCACTCTAACGACTCATCATTCTTCAGGTTCCCCGACTGATGTACTGTGCAATCTGATACATGGAATATAACAACACGCAAAGCCTGCACGCTGGTAATCAAATATGCTGGAATTAGACAATAAATGCCCAAAGACATGTAATGCCCTCTCTCATTCATCCGTCAGACAAAACGCACTAATAGGAAAACTTTAATTCGTGTCCATACTGATCAAAATGCCTACATTATGGTTTTTGACGCATTGCAGAGCAACCTTAGACAAATTTTTGTGCATTACGCTTCTGCGAGAGGCTCGTCTGAAACCTTGTTATCTCCTGCACCCTCAGAAATATGAACCAATATTTTGCCCAAACCCGTGTCCCCGTCTGCATTGGAAAAAGAAGCCTGGAACCCCATGTGATAAACATCGGCGAAGGCCATGGAGAGGCGGAAAAATTATCACGTTCACCGTTCAAGTAAGGTTCCTTTTCCCGATCATGCATCCACAGCGTATTCTCGTACGTACCAGTGGTTCTCAACCGGAGTCTCGCGAGAGGATCAAGGAAATGAAAAGCAAATGATTAATAACTGCAGAAAGAAGGTGAATAGTGAAAGTGGTGAACCTCGCATTTTTTTGTTGGCAGTAGTTGAAGGTTTCCCCCTTTGTTTCTGTGCTACCTTATGAGCGCCTTTTCATACTTGCTTACATATTTTTCCTTGCTTTCATGTCACACGACTGCATATTGAACCGGTAGGTCGCATGAATATTGGAATCGAGCTAGGTGGGTCGTACCAAAGAGCCACTGAGTAAATACAGGTGGTATTCAACCACTTTTATTTACCTTACCAACGTCCATTCAACATGTCCCCAATTCCTTGGTCTTTCTTCATGCAAACACTGATACTCAGCGAACGCATATGCCAGGTTCATGCAGGAAGAACCGAAGACAGCACAGCCTTGTGCAGTTATATTCCTCTCCATTGCCCTTTTAGGCCTTTTCTTCAGAGTTCGATGAGACTTGGGAATGTGATTAAATGTTGACTTCCTTCCACGTAGCCCGACCGTAGTCCGAGAGAGAAAAAGCTTAAAGGGGACGAGAGAGAAGAGAGGGACTATATATAGGGTGGTTTAAAAAAAAAAAAAACGCTGTATCGTTTTCTATGGAAGAAACACAGTTTCATAAATGCAGGAAAAAAATTGCATTGAATACACGATCGATATTTGACAGTTACAAGGTGTTGAAATGCTCGCCAGCTTTTTATCAGCACCCCTGCCTAAGTTTTGCAATGCCCATTTAAAGGAGAATTAAAGGTGCTTAGAGGTGGATCATTCCACCTCAAGTGAGGTGATTACCTGTGCTCGACCGTCTCAGAATTCAATTAACTTTCAATTTTAACTTTTCAAGAGACAGTTGGATCCAGCTGATACTTGACGGAGAGGTTCATGAGTCTAAGAGGTTTTTTCATTTCCACAAGATGGCGCTGTATCCCAAAAGAGGACGCTGTTGTTGACCGGGTGACCGAGGGCGATTAAAAAAAAAGGGTAATGCTTCACGTGTAAACTGTGTAATGGGACAAAACATGGCTCAGAGAGTTGTTCAGAAGAAAAAAAAAAACAAGACAATCTTTCAAACACCTCCTGTATGTCCAGAGTTCATCAATCTTATATTTTTTACTCGAATACACGAATTGTACTTTCTCCCCTTGGAAAGCGTTGGACATTTTTTAATCACCCTCGGTCACCTGGTCAACAGCGCCCTTTATCGGTATACAACTCCATCTTGTGGAAGTGAAAAAAAAACCTCTTAGACTCATGAACCTCTCCGTCAAGTATCAGCTGGATCCAACTGTCTCTTGAAAAGTTAAAGTTGAAAAGTTCATTGAATTCTGAGACGGTCGAACACAGGTAATCACCTCACTTGAGGTGGAATGATCCACCTCTAAGCACCTTTAATTCTCCTTTAAATGGGCATTGAAGCTTTTTATCAGCACCCCTGCCACTTAGGCAGGGGTGCTGATAAAAAGCTGGCGAGTATTTCAACACCTTGTAACTGTCAAATATCGATCGCGTATCCAATGCAATTTTTTTGCTGCATTTATGAAACTGTGTTTCTTCCATAGAAAACGGTAGAGGGTTTTTTTCTTAACCACACTATATATATACTGTATATATAGCATCCTTTTTACTAACACTTTCACGACTTCATTGGCTGGAAGAGAGGAATGCAGTTGAATGTGACTCATACACGCAATATAATGCAACCTTTCTATCTCTGAGAATCATGCTGTGATTCCTTCTCCTTGCATGGCATATACAGGGCATTTCATTGGTTCCGCAATTACAGGAGCGATCTTGCGAAGGTGTGCATGCTTCTTTGGAATCAATGGACCTCAAACTGAGTTGAAAAAACGCCTTCAACTCATTGTTAGGGGGTACTTGAAATTTGACTATGCCCTGAATCTTTGGTACATATGAGAGCAGATTTTAGGATTATGTTCCTTGGCCGTCCACCATGGCATCTCACCGACATTCGACAAGTCTCGGTGAGGTTCAACAACACCGAATGGATTTGAGGGTTTGCGAAAGCAATCCTCAAAGTCTGCATGGCTTGCATGCGACGATTGCTCATGCCATCATATATCTCTTGCAATGCTAAGAGCACCAACGATTTCGAAATGCGGGAGGATGTGTTCGAAAGATGCCAGTGAGACGATTGGCGAAAGTGCCTTAGAGAATGAAAGCGCAATTTCGACGAAAGCAAGTTTTTATTGCAAGGGAGTTGAAGAAAAAATAATTATTTGACAAAATTGCAGATCACATAGCAGGTGGAAGCGTCTTGGGTATAAAGAAGAATGTACACATTCACAGAACCTTTCCTGAAGATGCGGGTTTAAATGAATGCCCAAGATGTTCGCAGTTGCATGGCTTATGTCTTGTCAATGCAAAAAATGTTGCCATCTGTACTAGGGCCTTGTGGGGCCATTCCTCCTCCCTTTTGCATGGGGCTCGAAGGATGAGGTTCATGATGACGAATAAAGTAATGTAAATTTATTCCTATGGCCCAGACCGAATGAGTTGCGGATTCGGAACATCATGCACGATCCGCGGATCTTTCGAGGCTCGACCACAGCTCCCATTCGGAGCAAGACCATACCGACCCTCGTGAGTTCGATTCCCTTCGGTGGGCCTTCTAGCATATATCAGTCGACCGAGTTCTCAAAGGTGATGAAATGAACGGTGATTGCAGGAAGAGAGCGAGGGCGAAGACGGGCATGAAGTCATGTATCGTCGTGGAAGGAGGAAGAAGCATTCCCCGCGAAGAAATCGGAAAACCGCCAACATTCAAACCGATCTCGTTCTGGAACAGGTTTCCCTCCTCCGTACATTCTCTCACGCTCTTCACGTTTCCGTCGATGAGTTAAATGTATCGGTTGGCAGTTGGATGGGGAAGGAACGGGAGAGGAAGAGAAGGCAGCACAGACGGATGAGGATATCTTCGATGGAGCACCAACTCCCATTTTCATCCCAACCCCTTCTGGCGTGGATGCTGAGACTCAAGTCAACGAATCTGAGGTGAGTCACGGGAGGGAAAAGTTCGCCTTCTCCGGTATATTTTAGGTCTCAGTTTTCCTCTTCAAATCTGAAATCGTTACATTAGGCGGAAACTGATGAAGAAAAAAAATCTGCATTTATAACAGTTTAACACGTTGATGGGACGAGTCGTCTGTAGACATCATTTTGCGAAGAGGACGTCGTTGAACGTTAAGCACAAAAGCGTGCCTGTGGAGAACACCACCTTTCTGCTTTACGATCCAATGAGATAGAGATCGTGCGGTTCCTGTTGAGGACACTCCGTCTCCTCTTTGACTCGTTGGGAAAATTAATCTTCCACTTGTCTGGTCTACGGTATATCGTTCACAAAATACTTGGAGAGGTCCAAAGAGCGGTGTTAAACCGTCCGTCAGAGAGCAGAAGCAGCTGTATTCTAGCTGGACATCCGCGGGGAGAACAAGAGAAATCAAACAGGTGATGGCTGGTTAGCAATACACCACCATAATCTTTTTTGATATCTTGTTTCAACAAAACTATGGATTATATAGGAGATATGCTTCATTCATTGAGTAAAAATGGAAGAGCATAAAATTCTGGTTTCACACCTAATTGATAATTGAGAGAGATCTTGCCATGTCGCTCATTCTCCGTAAGTTTTGTTGCTTTCATACAACTACAAACAATGCTGCATCTCCCATAAACCATATACTGACTTCACCTGTAAAAAAATCCACTCTCTAAATTACTTGCAGGTTTGAGCAAACAAACTGCAAATGCTATTTCTGTATTTCCTCTGCGTTCCCTTTTCACTTTGTATCCAGATCTAATTTTTTCTGCACTTCTTATGCCATGACGCATAATTTGTACATGTACCGCTGTATGCTATCAGTCAAACCTTTTGACGAGATGAAAGCTTGGGCTGTCGTAAGAAACTAATCTAATGTAATCTACTTTAATGGTACCCCATATACTTATACGTGTAAAGTTGCCACTTGATTCAAAATTTGACATGTTATAGGCGTCTTATTTCTTTTAATATGGTGCTCTTGCTCTCTGGTGGCATACATTCATGCTCCATTGCATGGGAACATTCTGCCATTTCAATGACGAGCGTCCATAAAGCTATGTTTTCAAACACGAAGGAAGAATCTCATTGGCACGAGGCAAAGCGCCAATTACATAAAAGGCGAAAAAAAAATTACGACCATGCATGATGATGAAGAAAGCAAATACCACTGATTGGACATGCTAATGAATGCAAATTCTGTCGCACAACTCCTCATAGTTTCTGAGATTTCTTGGAAATGACGAAAGGAAACCTTTAGCACTGCTGCTGGTATCTAGAGAATCCTGAGCAAACGGGAATAACACGTGATTTTTACTAGCTTGGTTTGTTGAATGGTGCAGCTGTGGGATTGGGAGGCGGAGGAGAAAGATATCATCCAGAGGCTTGTCGGGAAAACGTTGGAAGATGCTCTTGAGGAGGTCCTTGAAGAGGAAGAGAGGGCTGTGGCTACATTCCACAGCCTCCACATGTCCAGCCTTCATCCTCCGCTCTCTTCGTTGACTTCTAAAGAGGTACCAGAAAATCTGCCGGTCTTGTCCAATAAGAAGCTTTACTTCAATAATACTAATCGCATCCCTTGTTGCAAGTTGTGAAATCGATCTGACCTCTGGATTATGAGTTCCATAGGATAGCTTCCACCTAGCCCCTTAGCTTGCTACATTTGTTCACTGTTGCAGTCTTTCATTCGAGCGAGACCACGAATTTCAATGAATTGAATTGAAAAGTTATTATAAAGTAATTATAATAACAATTAACCATAAACTACTAAGTAAATAATTTATAAGTAAAGATAGTTCATTACTCGTACAGTACAATACTCTTCCCTGCGAAATATATCCGGACGCCATTCGCAAAGGAGTTTAACCATCTTAAGGATACAGGTGTTTGTTACGCCGGAATGGAGGAGGGTCCCACCAGAACGCGACTGAGAACTAGTGAACGGCATGTCTCAATGTGTCACTGCTATTATTCATGCTAACGGCATTCCTACGCGATATATGACCTGCCTATACAATGACCTCCACTCATTCTGCACGGTTTTCGAGTGCTTTTGGCAGCGTTGAGTTTTCGATTTTCATGTCGTCGAAAAAGCACTTTGGAAACGTAACGACCTGACGGAACGAAACGAAACTAATCTCAAAATCAGGAAAAGGTGAAGAACATTTACTAATGTATCACTGTTGCTCAGGTGGTGGAGCAACGATGTGGATAAATCTGCCCAAAGAAGCCGGCAATGATGAAGGAAAGAACTTTGATTTCCAATAGAAAACACAGTCCGCCCTCTCGTATTGATGTGATGTGGATAAGCGATGTGATGTGTCTCTCGCGCTATGCGTAATAAGTTCATAATCTAACTCAGCGGTTCCCAGACTTCTTTGAATCGCGACCCACCGGAATCCAGAACGAGGTATTTTCAAAGTAATCATGACGTGAAGAAAACTGATCGACCCTTTCTGCAGGGCATGTTTATCCTGAGCGGATGCGGATATAGTGATTTTTTATTCTGGGAAAATGTACGCGACCCACAGTTTGGGAACCGCTGATCTAACTGAATTGACAGTTGAGAGGGGTAGGACTTGGTTCGAAAGCGCTTCTTTTTAAGAATATTTTCTTGAGCTTGAGTGACATAGCAGAAAAAATTTTGAACAATCCTTTCATTGATAGAGTTTAATCTGACATTTTCATTTGGTTCCACATAACCTACACGAGACCTTCGTCCAAAAATGACTTGTTTGACTCCTATTAGGCTTCATTCCTGGACAAAAGCCGGACTTAGCAACTGGAAATCGGGGTATTACATTCTCTGCATGTTTGTAGTTGAAAGATAAAACTAAATGAGCCTGAAAGTGAAATTTTGGACGGAGGTTTAGAATTCCAAGCAGCTGAGAAGAGGGCGGATTTTGTATGCACGACTACTTCTACTCCCAGTATTCAATAAAGAATTAGCGGCATTTTATCAATTCATTGAGATTATCTGGTCCATCAATTTTATGTTGATCAATTGCATCGAGTGAAGACTACACAAGTCGGAAAATGGAAGTATTTTGTTCATAAATGAGATTGAAGCTAGAAAGTGACTACACTGGGAGTTGAGGCCTTCTATCAATTTGAAAATACGTGGGATCCAGAAACATACAAGCCCATGCTCTTTATTGCCGTAGCCTTCCATAAGCTGTAACTCAGCACTATTACAGAATTATTCTCATTTCCCCCCTCCTATTACAGAATCATAAACTACTCAATAGGGTAAAAGGGAAATGAGAATTGGCGGAGAGGCTTTACAGATATGCACACATATTCGGATAGACCATTTTGGGATTCAGTTTGTTCAGGTTCATCCTCCACTAAGTGTCGCGGAAAGAGCAGCTCCAGAACTTTGAAGTGATGACATCATCGTTTCAAATTTTTTAATTGGATAACCAAATTGAACAATGTCAGTGGAATATGTAAGAGAAGCGAAAAGAAAAGCTTTCTGGAATGAAATAGGCATGGACTGTTGGAAAGCGTGACACGCGCATGAACATAAGCAGACGTAAAAATTGCAGCTGAATAGGTCATTTTGACAATTCCATACTCAGCTTCTCATTTATGTCCTTGGGGAAAGATGTCCAAAAACTCGAAGTTAATATTGCTCTATAGACTTTGCTCGAAAATTTTGTGAGATTCAACTAAGTGCGCGATTTCTTCTAACGAGTCGAAAGTTGTTCAAGCCAAGGCGTGAGATTCGCAGGTAAGCTAAGCCATATCCTCTTGTTGTCGGCTGCAGGGGACATCCATTGCTCATGAGTATAGTTGATAACTCACGTTTTACTATTTTGGTGCCGGTATACAGTTCCTTTCAAGAGAGGGCGATGGAGAAAGGGAGACATCGGGGATAATGGCGAAGAGAGAAGTAGAAGACTTGGTCTCTGATGTCATGGAGAACCTCAAGGATAAAGGATACTTTCAACTTCACCAATCATCTGGTACATTACATACTCTTCTTAACCCTCCTTCAATTCGGTAGCCAGAAATTTGTTGCGTATACGTGACAGAGGCAGAGAGGGATTTCGTGCCGTGGCTCTTGAGACGGGTATCCACAGTTCTCTTCAGCTACAACGTCAGTCGACACGTTATCAACGGTGAGTTGTGTGCTCGAGTCAGACTCATTGCACTCTCTCTTCCTCTGATAAGTCTACAGAATCGGGTCGGTAGAATACAATTCCGTCCACTCACTTGAAGATGTCTTACTTCAGTCGAGCGCCATTCGTCCACACCCTTGCTTTTACCCATAGAAACACTTCATAACAGCGCAAATCGCCGCTCAGAGAATGTGACGTTGAACTCAAGCTTCCAACGCATACATTCTCACTCCAAATTTCTATTGAATACTCTTGTATAGAGTATAGATGTATTGTATAGAAGCAAATTAGGCTATTTTTCACCAATATGTCAAAGAGGAGAGAAAAATATTAAGACACCGTTTTTTCTCTTCGGATGGGATGATGTCGGAGAGGCACTTTCCCTTATTTTTAAAGTATTTTTTAAACAGAAATTCTTGAGTTAAAACTTATCTCCATATCTTCATCCATGAGCAAGATTACAAAGATAACTTTGTCATCTCGCTATCCTGACTACCCTACGAAGCCTAGTCAGTCCGTTAAAAAAAAAAAGAATTCCTCGTGATTCTCACTATGGCTTAAACAAATCTGCCTGTGATTTACAGTGGTGGTCAAAATTAACGTACCAGGGTTTTCTCGAAAGATAGGGAACCTACGCGGCTCAAACGTTTTGCATTGAACAGCTATGAGTGCTGATCCGTCTAAAAAATGGGTGACTCTAGTTGTTACATCCCAGTTATGCAGCTGTTTTTCATCGGCGTAAGGAAAAATACTACTTTCAATGAAGAATCGCTACGAGATTGATTTCATGCCGCCCGTCCCTTGCGTCCGAAGCTCTCTTCTGCGCCATCGCAAAGTACAAAAAGATCTTAAAGCCAGCGAAGGCCAGTTGGCTTAAAATCTATCGAGAGACGGGAATGGTGGAGGGAAAAGCGTGATCGTTCGGACTGTCAAACACCTGGGTAAGGTGCATGCTTGGGGCTGCCTCTATGCTGGAGGGATTGGGAAGATCTGCACCTTCACCCAGAACCTGGATGCGCATCTGCTGAAGACCTGCGCATCTGCGTGCCCTCTTGTCTTCTGCAGCTACTATGTTTCCCGATTCATTGAAGACTTGGGTGCTGCAGGAGGAGAATGATCCAAAGCACACCTCAAAGTAAGCGACCGACTGGAGTGTTGAGAATGGAGTGTTCCGTTTGGACTGGTCGTCGCAGTCTCCCAACCTCAACCATATTGAGAATGTGTGGGCTCTCTTGAAGGTCAATGTGGCACATCGGCGCCCCAGAACGATCAAGACTTTAAGAGCAATAATTAAGGAGGAGTGGGAGAATCTGAGTGAAGAATTCGCCAAAAAATTGGCAGACTCAATGCCGGGCCGATTACGTGCTGTAGTTGAAGCGCAGGGCGATTATACTCTGTATTGAGATCAGGGCTCTGTATGTACTTTCTGTTGACATGAAAGGTTTTCCTACATCTCTCGTTGAATAAGAGAAATCCCTGGTGCGTTAATTTTGACGCGTACTGTAGTTGAGTAGAATGACACTGTGTGGCGTCACAACTTTGCTTCTCTATTCCAACCATTGCGACGTTAAACCTTTCGGCTGCGCTGACTTCAAGCATGTATGTAGGGATGCAATGTTGCATTGAAAGGTTCTCAGTGCTATCTATGGAGCATTCATTTAGTTCTCATTATTTAATGCAGAATTAGCCCGGGAAGTGACGGAGAAACAGATGGAACTGAGGAGCTCGAAATCGGAAGAAGAGCCTCAAGAATGAACGCGTGAGACTCCAGTCTGCCCTCTGAGGTATGCCATTCACTCCTTTCTTTCTTCATCGCATATGATGATGAATATCTTTATTCGACGCTTCCATGCGGTCTCGATCCACTCTGACGTGCTCTTGAAATATCGAATGCATCGGTCTCACGACGAAACCGGTAACGATGCTTGTTAATTTTTTTCACCAACAGATGGCGTGTGTGATGATTCTACTCGCGGGAAAGGAGAAGAGCGAGGGTAGAGAGGACTGCTCGCCATCAGTATTCCCAGTCCAAATACGGAATCCTCTTGATTAAAGGATCAACGCCACTGTATCTTTCATCATATTCCTGCAGGTTCAATCGATCTGCGAAGTGAAAATCGATCAAAACCCCTCGGTCTCCCTCACAAAACCTCTGGCTCTTATTCACTTCTGTGGTGCTTTTCAGGGTTTCCATAAATTCTTCATGCTACAGCGGGACGTGAAAATAGCATGAGCACGCTTCCGTATCGCAAGCTGAATCCTGCAAAATTCAAAGGAAAATAACCTTTGTCCGCGGATAAAATGGTGAAGGTTTTGAAATGATTCTCTATTTCCTTTCCTGCGTGAATCCTCATCTCGACAGTAGCTTGACAATCAATTAAGCGCGTTTGCGAAAAATCCCATGATTATTTTTATTTAATCCTAGGATTTTCAAAAAATTGACGAGGAGCCATGGTTCGGCTCGAATGAGGCAGTAGTGCTGATACGGAAGCGTGTGATATTAGCATAGCTCATTGTTTTGAATGTCAATTTCCTTGAGAAATAAAAGCAATTTAATGTCGGACCGTCTCTTATTGAACCACCGACGACCCTCAATAATATTCGTCTCATACTTGAGGCCTCTGCACAAGTTGGTATTAACATATGAGATCTTCTCTTCGGTCGTGTGATCCCCGTCAGACATTTGGAATGTCGCGATACCAACACCGACTTGTCCGCTCCGAATGGGTCCGTATCCACCAGAATTTCGAGAGTGTAACAGTGTATTCACGTAGAACGCCACATAAAATCGGTTCAGGCTTCAGTCCCATTGAATGCACTTTATTGCTTTGTATCGAAACAGTTGGGGAACACAAAGTGATACGACTGGAAAAACTTAAAAAGAGAAAAATGTTTAAGCAAAGCTGGTAGACAGAAAAATTGAAATGCAATATGACCTTCCATTTTTCTTTCTACTCTGAGCTTTTCCAATAGATCCATGATTACCCAAACCATTCTAATTTGCACTGCCACAGAGTCTTTTCAATGATAAGCACACCTTGCGGTAAAAACCTCATTAACACCTCATTAATTCTCATGAAATCTGCCCAATTCCTCATTAGGATTGTGTGGTCCCTCATGAAGCTTCAAAACGTCCTCATGAGGATTGTGAGGATCCTATGGGGTCTCTTAATTTTCTTATTAGAACGTTTTGAGACCTCATGAAACCTCTGTCTGAAAACCTCATGAGGATCTCATTAGGTTTTTTCGACAGGGCAGCTAAGATATTTATTTAATTTGACACCTATTACAAAATTTCATGCAGTACATCTGACATCTACATTATTAGTTGTAAAAGGGAATCGTTGGGAGGGCGGTAAACACCCCAATACCTGGAGGAAGTGTGTTCCCTAGACTTAAGTTCTAATCGTTAGTAATTACATGGAAGCATGGGAGAACGTTAACCATTACATTACATGGGAGCTATACCTCTGGGGATGTTCTCCAGTTTCAAAATGGGGAAATTATCTCCCAACCTGGCTGCAAAACAGTATGTTTCTGCGACAAATTGGGTGAAATAGAAAGGCTTCCAAATATGAAAGTTTACATGCTAAGTATCGATGCCTTGCTACAGCGTCTGAAATTCCCGCACGAAATGGGCAGGTTTCCTTAACGACAGAAATCACTGTTACGATTCTTTAATTTGACTTTTTAGCAGCTTGCTTTCATATACTGTTACTATGAGGGCTACACTGCAAACTTGCAGCTACCGGACTCTTAAGCCGAGCTCATATTAGTGCAGAGCAGCAAAATGGATACTGCAGCTGCATGCTATATTGCAAAATTCTATCCAGCATATAAAGCTGTTGGACTGCAACCCTGCAATGCATAAAAAAAAATTGCTGTACAGAAACCATATGCAGTATGCTCTCCAGCAAAAAAAGAAATCTGTGCTGAACAGGATACTGAATGGATTGGAAATCATCTCTATTTTTGAGATTAAAGCGGAATATTAGAACGAGGCGCAGAAGATGCAGTGTTGAATTTGATGGAAGCAGCGAGCATTTTTTCTGTCCGTTAATGCGCTGTTCCTGGCTACTGTTCTCAGCATCCAGCATGATGTACTGTAGGACTGTGAACTAGGCCTAAAGCTGAATCGTGTGGCATAAAATAGAAAGAAATTAGGAAAGCCAACGGAGAAAATGTGGAAACGTCACGTGGACGATGTCTGAAATGAATTCTGGTGTCTCAAGAGAGAGCTGACAGTCGCAGACATAGCCCAAAGTAGAGAGACGTTTCCATAGCAACGAAAGCAGGCAAGCCTAGAATTGAGATACCAGCATCGTCTACCGATAGTCTCGAAAGGACTTCCCACGAGCTCCTTCACTCGGTCTGTTGCATCTCTTCTTTCTCATCTATTTTTCTTGCCTCCTCAAGTCGGTTTTACATTTAGTGGCCTTGACAAGGGGTGGGGGGGAAATAGCATGCAGATTTGAGTGGTTTCTTGCATTTTGGTCAAGTTTCCCCCCGTTGCAAATTTTGAACATTGGCGACCCTGAGGCATCTGTGATTGAGGAAAAATAGAAACAACCGACTTTCGCCTTGGCAATGTATCATGGGATCCGAATGTATCTCAGAGATCTTAGATGATTGACTCGAAAGTGGAGTTCGAATTGATCCGCGAAGGGATGTCTCCATCCACTCTCGCCGAATACTCGTCCATTATCATCGTAACGAAAAGGACCTGCTCGAGGAGGTTTTGGCGACCAAAAATCTTTTAAGATAGTATAAGTTGGATATTGCCAGCAAGCAAGAGCCAACAGAGCCTTTCATATCGTGGAGCTTTGACGATAAATGTGGCGCAAAGGGATCATGGGCGAGATTACCTTGATATGATGCAAATTTTCTCATTTCTCAGATTTTATTTTTTGCGATATTGAAAAAAGTTAACGATTTGCATTGCATTCCTTGAATACATCCAGACCTGTCCTATGACGTGTAGAGAGTGATTCATGGATGTGAAGCTGGTATTGATCAAACACGATTCAGACTGAGCTGACGTCACGGAGACATGCACTCTGGCGCTTTTCTATTACATAAGAACTGCATTTCAGGCCACCGATTACTGTGAAGTGGTAGAAGTGGTTGCCAAACAATCCATGTTATTGCAAAGCACGGGACATGTGAGGAATTCCGGGAACCTGTCCCGAAATCCGATTCTCAAGCACGACCACATGTATAAATATTATGGTCCCTTCCCATTGGCCTTCCCTATGACTGGGCTCCGGCAGGAGGTCGTCCGCTGTGCATTTTGAGAACGGAGGAATTCGAAATTTTGGACTCAGTACAAGTATGGTTACAGGAATATACCAAATTTTTCTTGTTCGCTTCAGTTTGAGTTCGGGAAATGTGGATTCAGTTTGGTTCGGTTCGATAAAAAGAAGTGCGGAGTCACGGTTCAAGTCAGTACGAAGTAGGCTGACCAAAAAGGAATTTCGCTGACCAGCCTCGTGCTGGAAACGAGAAACCAAAACAAATATTTCGGATCTCCTCGAGCCATCTGGTGTCGCATTCAGAATTTCAATTGTAAATTCAGCTGTATCCCAGCTTGAGAATCCTCTATATAAAATTCCAGCAGAAAACAACCTGCATCTACGGCTTCCAGAACGGTACGCGTTCGTGTTTCTCGAAGAGCAGGAAGCAGTCACAGTTGTGAACAATTCGGTTTTTATTACAGCAGCAGATGTTTATTGTTGATAATTGAAAGCGAATCTTACAAGAGTTGTTGTAAAAATTTCATGGAGAAGTATCCCGATGTGAAAGTGCTAGCAAAACGTGCCAAACAGAAGTTAGTGGCGAAGTGGCGGGAAACAGGTTCCGTACGGGATGAGGCACCAACTCGCGTTCGAACTGTGCGGAATAAGGAAACTGCTCCTGACATGCGAACACGAATTGAGGACGGCCCCCGTCAGTCAACACGTCGATTGTCTCAACAGGGTTTCAAAGACGACTTGCAAAAGAATTTTGAAAGGCTTACGAATGACTGTCTACAAAATCACTGTCGAAGTTCCCTCGTTCCGCATGAGTCTTTTAGCATTTCCTGCAGTATCGCAACTAACTATCGCAACTATGGCAAAAGACAGCCTCCAACAATAAACAAGACGGAATGACTTGCCGGGCTACTTTCAAGTGGGACACCCTGTATAATGACATAACATATATCTACAGATATTTAATAATATATGGACTCAATGAATCCTAAAACCCCACCAAAATCAACAAAATCAGGTATAAAGCTGAGTTGATACATGGAATGACGCTATAGGTCTGCATTAACGTCGATTGAGATTTCAACCTGAAGGCTCTCTGGTTTCAGTGTCTAAGTCAGGGGTTGGCAATTATTTTGGCTGGAGGGCCACTCCACGAGTTTTGGTGAGCTTCAAGGGCCGCACTCCAGTATCTCAAAGAATACCTCAACAGCACAATCATTGCTTGTCGGTCCTATTCCCTCCTTTGAAATAAAAACCGGTCGACAGCTTCTTCTACCGCATCACGTTTTTCGACCATCCAGATTCTCGCAAAAAAAGACTGCCAAGTATATCGCTCTCAAAAACATTTCATATCATGCGTCTTCGATAGTGTTAAAGTGCACTGTGGTGTAGCCTATAGGACTGTCTGTGACAAAATGCATCCAAATGGTTCGAATTCTAAAAAATCTCACTCAGTCGGAACAGTTAGATTCCCAATCTCAGATAGCCACAAATCCCATAGTTGACAGGTTTGACAGTTGGGCCAGGCTATCCTGGGAAGCATGACATCTTGATAATTAATAACCTGAATCCCAGGAAAGCGCCATTCTAGAAAAGACTGTAGTCAAAACATGGCTCTTTGAAGAGAGTTAAAGAGAGGAAAGGAAGGGAAAGATGGCCTAATAATGACAAACGAAATGAGCAAGCTCAGCTCTTTCATTGATTACAATAGGTGCTTTCTAATGACTAAACTAACTAAAATGTTTCCTTTTGTTAGACAGAGTGGCGGGCCGGATAAAATCATTTGGCGGGCCGGATTCGACCCACGGGTCGTGTTTTGCCCAGCCCTGGTCTAAGTGGTAGTCTACAGTCTAAAAGTCCAAGAGACCCCGTGACCTTTAGCCAGTTTTTGCGATAGCGTGCTTCCCTGGTATTTCATAACGATTTGGTCCTTTTCTCGTTCAGAACTCCATCAGAATGCCAGTAGAGAAGACACCGAAAGAAGAAGAGGACGAGGACGAGGACGAAGAAGAGGAGGAAGGGGTAACGGAAAAGCGTGAAGATGAGGAGGAAGAGAAGGAGGAAGAAGGGAAAGGGATAAATCAAGAGGAAGTGATGAAAACCAGGGTCCTGAAGAAGAAGCTGCAGGTGACGGAGGGAGAGAAACGAGCTTTGCTGCAAGACTGCGAGGAGGCGAAAGAGAAGAACCGAGACGAGATGGCGAAGCTCAGGGAGGAGATAAAGTGTCTCCGAGATTGTCTGAAGGAAGCCGAAGCTCCTCAATACGACAAGTTCCTCACAGAAGCCGTCTACGATGCCCATCGTCACCTCTTCTCGGCCCTGAGGAAGATGCCCCTCTCGGAGGCATCTGCGTTCCTGGAATCCAAATTGGCGGATGCCAAGAAGCTGAACAACCGGCTCTGTCATGAGATAGCCGTCCAGGAAGAGAAGCTGGCCCTCTTATCAGCTGAGATTGAGATCACTCAGCAAGATCTGGATCGAATCAACCTGGAACTGGATGGCTCTCCCGATGCTGGCATCGTCCGGAGCTTGGAGAATCAATTGTACAAGACTCAGGCGAAGCTGATCGAGGCCGAGCATGTTGCGAGGAAGTACGAGTCCATCCAGTCCTTACTGATCGAGGCCAGGGGGTCTTACCCGAACGAGTTGGAATCCCTCAAGAAGCAGGTGATTAAGACAAAAGAAAAAGAATCGTGTCCATCGTACAATTCCATTTTCTTTCTCTCTGCTACGTAAGTCAAGCATTAAAAAAATTTTAGGCTTATTTTCATGGTCCTTTAAATCTCAACTGAATAATATACATAGTAGAAAGATAGATTTAGGTATTAAAAAAAAAAACTCTTGTTTCGCATCTGACATGACTGCTCGCTGGCTGCCAATTCCATCGCAAACAGGATAGAAGGAATCAGAAGCATATATTCTGCTTTTCTCACGAGGTCATCACATAAGCATAAATGCATCATTTCAGATTTTTTTATAGCCTGGTTTCCGCTCAAAATGAAGCTGCGGAGGTGTTCTTGCAGGTGAAAGAAGGAGAGATAGATTTCATTCGGATGGAGGCATCGTATGAGAATGCGATCGCATCAAGAGACAGCATGCGAGAGACCTTGACCGCTTTCGAGCAGAAGGTGGCAGCTGCGAAGGAGGCCAGGGATCAGCATCTCGTGCACATCAGGCAGCAGGTGGAGGAATGGCAGGCCCAGAGCTCACCAGGTCCCGACGCGTATCGCCACCTCACGCCGTTACCGTCCCCGAATCCGTTTCTGTCGAAAGAAAGCCCAGACACCGATACCTTTCGTTTCCCCGGCTCAGGTGAAGACAAAGATCAGGAGGAAAATCTGAAAAGAATTCTCCTGGATCTCAAAGATGCGCTTGGCGTTTCCGACATTCACGGATTGCGGGAAAGATGCCGCGAGCAGCGATCCCGGGAGCTTCGGCTTCTCGAGTGCAAGGACGACACCTTGAAAGAAGTGGAGAATCTGAAGGAGATGAAGCACAGCCTGAGTTTGGAAAGAGACCGGCTCTGGTTTCGAGAGACGGAGCTGGACAAGGAGTTAGCCGAGCATTTATTGGAAGGGCATCAGCTGATCAGTGCAGAGCGTCAGAAGGCCGAGGATCACAATCAGACCATCGATCACCTGATGAGCACCGTGGCTCAGGTCCAACATGCGCTCGTCCACCTTCTAGAATCACTTCAGGTAGTGGAAACTCCTGAGTCGGCAATGATCGTGACCCTGGAAACTGATCCCTGGAAGATGCCAGAAGTCCTAGACTTCACTCGCCTCAAAGTCAAAGTCCTCAAGGACAGCCTTCGAGATGTCGACTTCAAGGACGCCCTCCAGGACCTCCAGGATGCGGAATTCGCATCGACGGGGGCCAGTAGCCAGTCTCAGTGGAATTCCCGATTGGGTTCGCTGAGGGAAGGAGGCTCGGGTGAAGGAGGAGGGAGTTCAGAGGACGAAGGGGAGGAGACAAATGCCCCTTCGAGGACCAACCTCAAGAAGCAAGCGAAGAAAATCCTGGACTTGAACCGGACTGCTGCCGCCCAGAGGCCGCTTGGAGATAAGCCTTCCACTGCGAAATCCCGCAGATGATCCTGCTATCTCATTTGTCAATAGCTCCATGAATTATATCTGTTTTAGGTACCCAATTTAGGAACCTTCGCGAATGCAATTTAAAGGGCTGGATTTAAGGGCTGCAGTACGAATTCAACTCTCATGCGAAGACTCGTTTCTACACGAAGTAATTCATTATAAATAATCAATTATCGAATTTCCTAGCATTGAGATAGTTGCAATTACATGCATGTTGTTGGGTTTTACTGTTATTGTTTGCATGTAGCTTTCTTCGCAGTCTATTCCATGAATTTACGCCTGAATTATGAATTTACAAGTAATGAATTGTCCGTCGTAAAAACAGACAGGACAGTTGAAAGCCTGTCATAACCATAACCATAACCATAGCGAAAAGGGAAGTCGGGGACTCGAGCGATAGAGCCACTCGTTCTTGCCCTTATATTTCACACTGTTAAACAGGTCCATTCGATTGCATTCAGATCTCCTTAGACTTCCATCCGCTGTATCAAAATCAAAGGTAATAAATTTCCTTTCAGGAGCATGTTGTACACTGCCACATTCGAGTGTACAAAAACAAAATTCAGGACTGGTTTATTTAGGGCAATGTCCTCTTCAAACCTAAAGCAGTGACTTTCTTTGTCTACTCTCTTACAATGCTAACATTGAAAGCGCTGAAGAACTCCTTCAGCCAGCACACAATCCAAATCTACTGGTGCTCCTCCAGGCGTCAGTCGCTCTGCCTACAAACATATGCTTCCATTTCGATTGTCTGTCACGAGAGGAAAAACAAAGTTGATTGCGACCTGCTTTCAATGCTTTCTATTCTCAATTTCCAATCGAGCATTGCCAAGAGCGTGAATCTGGATTCATTTTGAGGTTCGTGGTGATGAAGCAGGAGACTTCCTCTGAGATGAAAACTCAATATTGATGCATGGAACATATACGAGGTCTGACAGCAAAGTAACCTGACTGATTCTGTAAAAAAAAAATGTGATCACTAACCTTTAGTGGATGTGGTCACCTACAAAGTACTCTCCTTCTGAATTTATACACACATCCCAACGTCTTTACCATGCCTGGAAACATTGCTGGAAATCATTTTCTGAAAGTCCTTTCAATACTGCCGTCACATTGCTCTGAATGTCTTCAATTGATTCAAAATGAGATTCTTTCAAGGAGTTTTTCAGTTTTGAGAACATGAAAAAGTCGCATGGGGCAAGATCAGGGGAGTACGGGGGATGTTCCAACATTGATATTTGTTTTTTTGGCCAAAAATTGCCCTACCGAAGAGCTGTGTGGGAAGGCGCATTGTCATGATGCAAAATCTACTTGTTCGGCCAAAGATTCGGTCTTTTTCGTCGAATGCGCTGCCGTAAACTTTCCAAAACTTGAAGGTAAAATGCTTGATTGACTGTTGTGGAGGAACAAATTCATAATGGACAATTCCTTTGATATCGAAAAGCAGATCAGCATGGTTTTGACCTTCGATTTTGACATGCGCGCTTTTTTCGGTCTGGGAGATCCTGGAATTTTCTGTTGTGGAGACTTGGGCGTTTTGTCTCATGCTGATCTGCTTTTTCGATATCAAAGAAATTGTCCACTATGAATTTGTTCCTCCACAACAAACAGTCAATCAAGCATTTTACCTTCAAGTTTTGGAAAGTTTACGGCAGCGCATTCGACGAAAAAGACCGAATCTTTGGCCGAACAAGTAGATTTTGCATCATGACAATGCGCCTTCCCACACAGCTCTTCGGTAGGGCAATTTTTGGCCAAAAAAACAAATATCAATGTTGGAACATCCCCCGTACTCCCCTGATCTTGCCCCATGCGACTTTTTCATGTTCTCAAAACTGAAAAACTCCTTGAAAGAATCTCATTTTGAATCAATTGAAGACATTCAGAGCAATGTGACGGCAGTATTGAAAGGACTTTCAGAAAATGATTTCCAGCAATGTTTCCAGGCATGGTAAAGACGTTGGGATGTGTGTATAAATTCAGAAGGAGAGTACTTTGTAGGTGACCACATCCACTGGTAACCAATGTAAGGCAATGCCTTCGTTCAGACAAACTGCCTTCTACATCTCAACATCGATGCAGGTGGGAGGCACGTTGAACTGTGAAATGTACCCAATAAACTGTCTTCTGCACACAAAACACCATAACGAGTTATGTTTACCTAATAGACTATATTCGTGAAGATCTCCATTCATTGGGTACATAATTATTCCCAAGCCAATACAAAGGACTCCAACACATTTACTGTAAAGCTATTTTTCAAAGCTCTATATTTATTATTTCTTAAGCAACATGCACTTACATCTATTTAGGAAGAGAAGAACGCTATGGTAAACCAGCCTCATATATCCCAAATCAGCTGTTTCCCAGTAGCAGTTCCACAGGCTTTAGACAGCAATTAGGACACAATTTCCTTCCACTGCAATGGGGATGGAATGCAATGGGAAAAAACAGAAATTCCTCAAGTTTCACAAGAAAGCAGTATTTAGGGAGATCCTAATAACATGAATACACCTTACAATGATTTCATGATTGTATAGGAAGGCTTCAAGATCTCCAAGTACACAATGAGGCCATGTATTGTTAAATAAATTCTCTCTTCTCTAGAGCATTCTTGAAATCGTCGACTATTCCCATTTGATGTTACCACTATGCATGAAACCTGTATTTGGTTTCACCAAATACAGGTGAAACATGCTTATATAAGAAATAACTTGGTGGTAGTTGGAGCAAAGGAGGGAGAACCGAATAGTAGGGATTGGGACCCATTCCTGATCAGGATCATGGTCTCAGGATAAAAGTCACACAGTCCCACTGTTCTTGTCTATGAGAGTTCCAGAAGTCAGAATATATTTCATAATACAACTGTTAATGGGTGAAAACTTTCCGAAAATGAAACGTGTCAGGTTTATCACAATCACAAGTCGCCTCAAAAATGTTAAAATCGGGAAAACAGCATTTCTGCAAATGCTAAAAAAAAAAACAACTTTGTACTACCGCACAGACAGACATCTGAGTGATTAGCATTATAGGACCTGACTACTTCTTAACTCTCATTAAATATATAGGCCCTGAACCCATGTTAGTAGATTTGGTTCTTTCAAGTCACAAAAGAATGAATAATAAACAGGAGGAAGAGTATTTTGGGAAAGGTATGGGCCATCGGGGAACAAATATTTATGCCCTAGAGGTAAATTGCTTGGATTGTCTTCAAAATCTAAAGCAGAGGTGCTCCAAGTGCTACTCATGGAATGCTTTCGTATAACTCAAATCACAATTTTGGATAAGCAAATGGAATACAACACTTGAGTTGAGAGAAGATAGAGGCACACAGGTGTCAAATGAGAACTTGTCTGAGTGCAGCAAGCACAGATTTAAAACTCCCACTCAGCACCCCTCTCTCCTTCACCCATTACACTGCACAATAAGTTTTCCTAAAATCACTAGGGTGATTTTATTTTGTTGCAGTAGCCTCAATTATAACTGGAATGAAGGTCTACAAAATTCATAACTTAAAAAAAAGACATTCCACTGCAACTTCTGGAACTACTTGGTTTCTGGTATGCATACTTTTACTTAAATCTCAGAAAGAAGTTCTGCAATCATCTGAGGAAGGTGTGTAACTTTTATCAACCTGTCTGCAAGCTTATTTGCATGTCACAATCACTACCTAATTGCCAAACAGAGTGAAAGATCACAACTGCATCTTGCATTTATGTTCCCCAGTAATGAAAATGTTTCATCATGTGAGACTCCAGAGGGATTGCTTCAGTAACTGCAAAAGAGACAGGTAGAGAGAGGAGACCTACAGGGAGGCCATAAAGTCTGGAAACATAGGATATATTAAGATAATTTTTTCGAATGGAAATGGCAATTTACTTAATCAGGTTCAACACTTTAAATGTCACCTTCAAATCTGTATTGATTCAATGGGAGAACATTTTTAACATTTATTTAAATTTAATTTTACATTTTCTTAATACATCCTTAATATGATCCTATGTTTCCAGACTTTATGGCCACCCTGTATATGCATTGACAGGTAAGCTATTCCCATCCCCAAGGGATGGAACTATGCTGCTACTAACAACCTGGAATGACATCCTATATTACACATCATAGAGACAAAAAAAAGGTAGAAGTTTCTACCAAGTGGAATGATTCATCCCAATGAACCCTATTAGGGACTCTAGAAAATTCCATCTACTGGATCAAGAACACATGAAGCATCCAAGCTTCAGAGAATGTCAGAGAATCTTCTCTGAAATAAAAAAAAATGTACAAAAATGACAATGTCTAGGCAAAACTTTCTACTGGGATTGAGCACATAAATGGCAGCAAATTTGGTTGGCAATGAGATCATGCACAGGTGATATGAGCAACTAGGGTCAATTATTGAAAAGAGTCCTGAGCTCTAAAAGTCCTAAGATTAGGAGGAAGAATCTGGGGAGTGCTTTCTCTTCCCCCCTGTGGCTCTATCATACAAGTCCAGGAGATCAAGTGCATTTATTGTCCGCTCCCGTTCCTCTAGGATCCGCTGTGCAGCGTCTCTGATCACCCGCCATTCATTCAATGCTTTCCCTTCACAGATCGGAAGAAGCTGCTCCTCCAAATCTGCCAAGTCCTAGTCAGAATCACAGGAAGAAAAAGTAGGATCAGCTCATGGCTTCCTTGAACAAAGTTATAAGTGGATTTCATCATCAAACCACTGGGAGGGGGGGGGGGGGGGATGAACTGTGATATGCATTGACTCAATACTTTCTACAGTTCAGAAAAGAATGGATAACTATCAGCTTTTGACATAACACACCAATTCCACCAGACAGAGGTTCTGCTGAGTAATGTAATATGGGAATGCTTCACTTTCCAATATATTTTGCAATTAGAACCCCACCCTTTTTAAGGTCTATGCTGCAAAACAAATAGATTTTGTAATACAAATGAGTGCCCTACTCAATTCTAATAGGTTTATACCTTATACAGCTGATGGAGAGGTGTTCATACCCAAATTTGCCCATTTCCAAATTTCCATACTGACTAATGCCAACAAAAGCCTTTAATTAGCAAAAAAGCCAGAATGAAACAGGAGTCCTTATAGCAGTGTGTCTCGTATACAACAATCTGAAATATGAAGCTGGAGCTGGATCCTTTCAAATAAGACTTGCTCGTATTTTAATCATAAAAGCTATAAGTATATACTCAGTAAGGCCTTAAGTGCTATGTACTTTTCCACATCTCAATGATCACCTTTTTAAATTTTAACTGCTAAATTCTTTTGTTACACATTCCTGTGCTGAGATATTTGCCTCTGATTGACCATGGTGAGCTCTACTTATGCAAAAAAAAAAAGGTGTTGCATTGACCTTATAATGTAAATGTATTACAGAACTGTCCCAAAGAATCTCCAGTAAGAAGCAAGAGAAGAAATGCCACAAGAGACACACTTATGAGATCAAGCTGAGAGATCATTCCCCTTTGCCTGTGGAATTTGAATCTCCTCACTGCTCACACATTAGGGAATTTTTCCTTACTGAGCCTTACAGGTAACATACTACTTCATGTAATAATTTTCACACGTTCCACAGGATCTAATGTTATACTGATATGAGTTCCTCAATGAATTCATACCTTAAAATTAAGGCATCATACCCACCAAGCGAAAGAAAGTCAGAATAAAGGTATCATACACTATTAAGGGGTTAACTTGATCATAGCAGTTAAAGGATTAAAGAATACAGCAAGAAATTTGAAAATTTGAAAATTTTCAGTATCAATCAAAGCAAAATGTTTGAACCAAGTCAAGACTTGCTCATCCATTAGTCTATGGATTATCTACTGCTATCCATAGCTACATCTGGAATGAAGACTCAAGCTGTTCATGTCAAATGACAACAGAATAGAATGCAGGATCCTACATAACCTTTCCCTAATACACTTGATAAGTTTAGAAATAATGATCTGAATAACTTTACATTGAAACAGACAATTGCCATAAATGTGCATGTTAAGTTTTGATAAGTTTTTTAAGAGAATTGAGAGATACTCAGACAAAAAGGGATCCATCACAGTGATGGAAACAGTATCTACTAGTGACTTAGTGTGGAGGAAGAGCAACCTCCTAACCTGAAGCTGGTAAGTGGGGAGAAGATGAAGCTTCTCGGGGCTCCTGTGAATGTCATTGATGAGATCTATAAGCCTTAAGTGAGATCCTCCATCTACTGCATCAACCACATCCCTGCAAAACAAGTTATACAACACAAGTTGATGCATCATCAAATTGTTCACCATCATACAATGCACCCTTCCATTTTCCATGCACATTTGAAATAGAATTAAAATTCAATGGAATTCATGCAAGACTGGATCTGACCACTGAATCTGAATGGGCTATACACAAGAGATGTGGTAAGAAGTTGAAAGAAATTGCCTGTAGTTCATACACATGGACTCCTGACACTTTCACAGAAAATAATGCACCTTTTGAATGATGTTTGCATGCCAGCAAATAGAAATACTATAGTATACATTCTGTTTTCTTCATACTGCTTGTAGAAAAGCATCAGGAGGCAGACAGAATGTTGTTGTGTTGGTGAGAACTTATTAGATTGCACCAAGGAAAGGTTTTATGAGAATGAGAAGCAAGGTATCAAAATAATTGGGTGATATAAACTGTTCCTTTTAGTTTTCTGCATAAAATCAATGAATTTTGTCTTCAAAAGGAATTTATTTTCACAACATATCTTTCTTACACTCATATCCAAGTAATTCTCTTTCTTTCTAGGAAGAACTTTAAGGCAGATGTTTTATGAAACATACCACACACATTACAGAATGAAACACACCTTCAGAAGAAAAATACTGTTGGTCAAGAATGCAAATTTTTCATATCTTTCAAGGAAAACCCAACCAAGAGTGCAATTCTTTGCAGTCTTGATTGGGTTTTCCTTGGAAAAAACGCCCACAGGAGAAAAGAGTGGGGCACCTTGGAGGGCATACAACAAGATATCTTGACAAATTAGCTTTCACTTCTTGTTCTTGAAAAGAGACTTATCTTTAGTTCTAAGACTTAATCCTACCAATCTTGGGAACTGGATTTGGCTTCAACTTGAATGTATTCAGGAAAGTATGCTATAAGACTGACCCTTGAATGATGAGATCAGCAGATCCAAGAACTGGTTCCCAGACTTCCCCAGGTCTAAGCATAAGGAGGACTGTTTGAGAAGGCAATGATTGAAAGTATTCTTCTGTTTCTACATGGGTTCCATCTGCTTCCAAAACAATCTGGACTTTTATAGATTCTGATATTCCCAATTTCTCCTTCCCTGGAATCATGGGAAAACAACACTGGTTATATACTGAGCAGTCAATGATAAAGAAAAATAACACATTCTCTAGATGAGGAACAATAGCTATTTCTTCACCTATTTATGCAAAAAAGAGCAGATTTTCAGTGAAAACAGATGTGCAAGGTTAGCTGATCCTTTCTGTCAAGAGTAGCTCTTTGGTTTCAACCTTTTGCTCCTGAGTTTTGCAGCAAAAAGCACCTCTGGTGCTATTTTTTATTTTTTTAGTGCAAAGATGACATCACAAATGATTGCATGGAGTAGAATAAAAGAAAAGAAATAAAATGTATTGGCCTACTATGTTCTGTGAGTTCAGTAGAGTCCACAATATAATTTCTGAAACTATCACACTAGTGGCAAAACTTCCCATTTTCAAGTTTACTCAATTGCCACAGTGAAAGGGTTAAACCAAAGTGAATAACAGTGTAGCAGTACAAGTGTTCATAAATGATGACCTTGGAACCATAACAGAAGAAAATGAAAGGGATGGTTCCAAGAGGCCAGGGAGCCTACTTTCAGATGGAACTTTCATTCCTGACCTACAGCATGGTGTTACTTTTCACATGAACAATATCTAATTTTCTAATTTAAAAAAAGCCACTGACATCAGCTAATTATTATTGTCAAATGCTGCTAGAAAGTACATTAAATTCCCCACTTCTATAGTGACAGCATTCATATTCCTCAGCCTAAATGTAGCTTGTCTTGAACAGAATCATAACATCAAGAGTCAAAACATAAAGAAGGTGAACCACAAAAAAAAGACATTGATTTCATACTGATTTAAATGATCATAAACAACATGGAGGTTAATTCAACATCACAATTATGAAAAGCAACATTTTAATAGTTCATTAAGCAAAAAAGTTGCTCAATGTGTTTCCAAAAGTTATCCGCTGCACCTGACAAATGTGTAATACAGTATGCGGCGAAAAAATGGCTACACTAATGTCCAGATTTATAACTTCATCCAGAAGTGGAACTGGGCCGCAATAATTTTTTCTTAAGTAGAGGTTGGGTGGTTCTTTATAAATAGTTCCGAGATTTTGAGATTTGTTTGCATTTAGTTGCAATGGATTCCAAAAGAGAGGCCATCGTTAATTTGTCTCATGCTGGGAAGACCCCCACCCAGATTGCCAAGGCCCTGAATATCCACAGGGTTACTGTGTACAAAGTCCTCAACAAATTAAAGGCCACAGGCAGTGTCAAGAGGAAGCCTGGAAGTGGAAGGCCACGTTCAGCAAGGACTCCAGCGATGATCAGATCGATTAAGGGAAAAATCCAGCTCAACCCCATCCGGTCCATGAGGAGGATGGCCAAGGAAATGAACGTGAGCGAGAGGACAGTCAGTAGGATTGTCAAAGAGGATTTGGGAGCCAAGTGAAGGGCCAGGGGTAAGAGGCAGCTCTTAAATGAGACCTCCAAGGCTAAGAGAGTAGCAAGAAGCCAGAAGCTCCTCCAGATCTTCAAAAAGAGAAAACCAGTGATTTTCTTCACAGATGAGAAGCTCTTTTGCATCGACCGTGCCTCCAACAGCCACCATGACCACTACATCAGCAATCAGAGGCCTGAGGATGTCCCTGAGCACATCAGGTTCACCTTCAAGACCAAGCATCTGGCCTTTGTGATGGTCTTTGGGCTTGTGGCCTCAGATGGTAGGAAAATGCCCCCGGTCTTCATTGAACAGGGCCTCAAGGTCGACACTAAAGTGTACATTGACATCCTGGAAAAGTCTGTCAAACCTTGGATCAAGTCCAACTACCCTCTGGACACCAACTATATCTTCCAGCAGGACAGGGCCCCTGCCCACACTGCGAAGAAGACCCAGAAGTGGCTAGAGGACAACCTTGTGTCCTTCTGGGACAAGGATATGTGGCTCCCCAGATCTTAATCCCCTGGACTACAGCGAGTGGGCGTTTGTAGAGGAGGCTGCCTGCAACAAACCCCATTCATCTGTGACAGCCCTGAAGTCCTCCATCATGACAGCCTGGTCCAACATGAAGGAGGACTACATCATCAAGACGTGCTCAGTCTTCAGAGGCCATTTGGAGGCTGTAATCAGGGCTGATGGGGCCCATATTGAGTAAAAGATATTGTCAGATGTTAAATCAACTATTTATAATTAAATAAATTTTTTGTGAAATCTCTCCTTGTTATAGTTCTTGATGAGGTATATCCAGATATGAGTGTAGCCATTTTTTTGCCGCATACTGTACATTACTGAGTACCTCTTCTAAAAAACTATATAGTGGAGCTTTCCCATTTGAGGCATATGGTGGCTGTTGTGCATTCAAGATGGTTGCTGTCATTTGTTCTGATCCTATAATGTCAATAGACTCATCTTTGGGATTCCCCCAGGCAATATAATCTACCAGATTGGGGTATTGAGTATATGGGACCACATTATTGGCTCAATGAAGTCCAGTCGAGGAACTCCACAGTTGCTGCATATTTGTGAAGGGTACACTGTCATGCTCTTCAAATTATTATTTTTTCCAGCAATAGTTTTAATACCAATATGAATTCTGGCTTTTATTGCAATTAAGTTCCTACCAATCAATTGCTGCCTTATAGAACTATTGCTGGAGAATTATATCTTCCAGAATGACTGTAATCTCTCTGATATGCAGCATGTATGCAGTTTCTAATGTGAATCATATATTATCTGTACTTCCACTCTACAACAAAGCATATCCCCACATGGCACAGTTATATCCCAGGGACATCCCCAACTGGATGACTTGTCCCAAGGTCTTTAACCCTTTGAAGAGTGGGTTTTTTAACACCTGGAAGATCACTCATAGTGAATACATGGAGGGCAGGAGGATGTCAGCCTGTAAATATACAGGCATACTCGTCAAAGGGTTAAAGGATATCCTGAAGACATCTTTTGGATGGTTTTAGGTATCTCATAAGGAATATCTTCAGGGCATATTCAGTTGATATCTTAGAGATATCCCTTTTGAGATATCTTTAAGACATCCTTAGTCTAATACTTCTGGACATCCTGTAAGAGATGTCTTTAAGACATCTTCAGTCGAACGCTTTTCTATATCTTGAGGAGAATGTCTTCAGGACATTTTAGGGATGCCTTCAGTGCTCTTTGTTGCCTTTAGTCAGGTGCATAGCTTCGACAGTAGATGTCTCCCATGGGTCTTGATCTCCAACCTCAGATCTTTTCTATCAACTTGATTTGTCCTGAGGATAAGTAAGGATTTTCATAACATACATGAGGAAAACTGCCACTAAGGAAATTGGAAAAATTGCTGTCTGAATTTCAATTTATTCTGTTATATTCTAATTAATAATGTCTGATCAGCATGTCTGGATACAACCATCTTGGTTGGAGGCCTGAGCCCATACTTTTCAAAAGGCATTAGGCTAAAACATCTTGTCCACGACCTCTCATGTAAAAATGCTAAATTTCGTCCCTTGAAAATATGTCTCCTATGCTGGGATCTTTCAGGTACAGGATTTTCCTCCCCATAACTGTTACTCTCCCATCGGTCAAGAACCTGTGATTAAGTATTCCTGGAGGATCAAATAGAGACATCTTTAAAAGTAATGGGTTGCCTGTGTGGTAGGAAATGAATCCATTGCAGATAGGAAGGTGCCTGCAAGTATCCTACCCTCAGTCACCTGGAGGGTGTTTGTTTTGCAGGTGGTGGTCACAGATAATTGAGTTTGTCATATGTTTTATTTTTATTCATAAATATAAGGTTGAATTGGTTTTTCCTGATTCTCTTTCATGCTGTAGTACAGGGGGAAGAAAAAGGTTCTATCCCACCCTGTATATCACGGGTTGGGAACCTTTATGGCCATGTGAGCATTATTAAGGGGGGGCCATAGTCAAACAATGGCAGGATCATGGTCCCAGAGAGCAGAATTAACATATGTAGGTTAAGCAGAGGAATCTTATGTTATAATATCTGGAAACTGGCAACATTAGGGAAGAAATGGCAACTGATTTTCATGATGCTATTATGCGTGAATGAGAATGGACCATTGCGGGGAGAACAGGAGATGGAGGGAGCATGGCCAGGAGGGTCTAGGTCATGCATCACCCCTTCCACACACAGATGTCTCCCGTGGTGCATTCCTTCTCACCTGAGTAGCCTCTCATCCAGTGATGGGCAAGGGGCTTTTATACCTTGTAAACCTCCTACCTTTCATAGAAAGGTAGAAAAACATACAGGAAATGCATTCATGATGGCAGCATTCTCAAATCCTTTCCAATAACAGTGGAATGGATTTTGAAGAATGAACTCACGATCGTATTATGATATAGAGAGCCTGGCTTTTAATGAAAGAAGAGCTTTTCATGCTGGGTTCTCTGGTACACTAGGGTTGACCATATATTTTCCAGAAAAAAAAACCAAACCATCAAGAAAATGCACAAATTTTAGTCCTAGCAATGTGAAAAACCAGGACCCCAGAATGGAAATAAAAATTAGATCCTTAAGATTTATTGAGAGCTATACAGCCTTGAGTTCCCCTAAAAACATCAAAGGATTTTAGTTCAATATATTTGCTCTTAGCATCTCCCAAAACCAGGATGAATTGTCCCAGTATTAGTATAATAGCAATCAGAATTTCAACCCCATCAGTAAAATACCATGTAAAATTACAGACATGTGGATTGTTCAATCATCTGTCTGTAGTCCATATTGATTAACTCAAAATACAGGCCTGGATACTTCGATGTTCAAGATTTTTTAGTCCTCAGTTCTTTATGAGGAGTAAAGACAATTTTATTTATCACTGGCAAAGCCAGGATACCCATGACATCGACTGAAAAGAACCTCCATTGAAGGTAAATGTTCCTGGTCCTAACATCCCTGATGGCGATCTGGGTAGAAATCACTAATGAGTTTTGTTAAAGAACCCTCGCCATAAAAGCTTTGTTTCAACTGAGACACTATCCTAGGATGGTCCTGGGATAAGTCAAAACAGAGACTTTCACCTCCCTCCTGCTGCAAGAAGCACCTCTGGGCAACCCAATCAATCTGAGGCTGCTCTGGGACTCTCCCGGGTCTAGGTCTCAGTTGAAAACAAGTATACTGGGATACGTGTTTTTTAAACTCGTTTTTTCCTTTCAACACACGCTACAACCATACAGGGTAGGACAAGAAAGTTCGCCCTTTTTCATATGAAGTAATCTTTGGAGTCACTCCCTCCTGGAATTGGTTAATAAATAATCTATCTCCATCTCCAATATGAAGGAAGGGCATGCTTATTTTATGGCCTGAGTTATTCATCTACATTACAGGACAGTGTGCCGCATGGAACTAGGGAGGTTGTAAAAAACCCACCCCCAAGCAAGGGAGACTCAAAAGGGGTAGATTGGGCCAGGAGAGAGGGAGAGATATTTCTTGTCATGCCATTATGGACCAATGCAACAGAAGCTGACTCGGAGAGAAGCTAATTCAACCCAAATGCTCTCTACCTCCAAAAGAATTAACTTCAACCTTCTTTTCAATAACAGAATTTTAAAAGGACCTCTAGCATCCCTGAATCAAAATACACTGTACAGGGTGTCCCATGAGTCCGGCATCATAGGAAAAATTCATATTTTTCTATTTCTACAGGCCATAATGTCTCTGAGCAACGAAGAACAAATCCAAATAATTCTACTCATAGGAAATCGGAGTCAAAGAGAGGCCGCTGCTGAATTTAACAGACTGCATCCAGACTGCGAGCCAATAACACAGAGTTGTGTTAGCAGACTTGATGTTTTAGGAAACAGGATCTAGAAGATAAACCATGCAGTGGACCTTCAAGGAGGTCCACTGACGATGATGCAGTGATTACTATCCTTGCTCATTTTAACAGAAGTGAATAAAAGCTTTTGTTTTTCCTTTTTTTAGTATTTTTCCTATGATGCCAGACTTATGGGACACCCTGTACTATGGCCCTGCCTTCAGATTGAGCTAAGTGCTTGTGAGCGAAAGATTTTCAGAACAACAGAATTTTTCCTGAAGTTGGCAAAAGACACATGCATTCCCTTATACATAAGAAAAATTAGGAAATGTGACCTTTAGCCAAGACTCAATGAGCCAAATTTTTTGGCTCATGAGCCATAGGTTCCTGACTTCTGCTGCATATATATAAAGTTTTTTTTCTTCCTTTTTCCACAAGAGGATATTTTTAGAACACCAATAGTGAAACCAAATGCCATAGGTAACATACCTCTGATGAGTAGTTCTTGGAGGGTGGACACAACAATGCCCTTACGACTATCTCGTTTTCCATCCCACAATTTCATTGGTTTTCTCTCCATCCCATAGAGCTGTCCCTGGAGCCTCTTAGCCTCCCCAGTTCTCAAGGCACTAACAGAAATTTCAAATAGGCCAATCTACCTAAAACAAGTCCCATCAATTGATTGAAAATTGTATTATACCTGGGAAAATAATCAATTTGTGGATATTAAATAATATTTTTTTTTAGAATCAAAATTCAGGATGAAACAAGTATAGCTGAACCTTCAACTCTAGAAATGTGGTTAGTGGTTACTATCAACCTTACCGAACAGAAGTGCACAAAGGGTATGTTAAATTAATACAAGTAGAGTGATACATGAGTGCATCCTGATCTCTAAGACTGTCTGGTGACAACACATATGGAACCCACTTTCCAAGTTTTGACACTTTTCCCAGCCATTGTTTCCTGTCATTTCCTGTCTGGACGTCCCAGCGGCAATGAATGGAGAAATGGGTCAAATTGAGTTTCTGGGCAAGGTCTTCAACTGTTACAGCAGCATCTTCTTCAAGTGTGGCTATCAGCAGGTCATCATCGAACTCAACAGGTCTGCATTAACGCACTTCATTGGCTAAGCTGTAGTCACCAGATCTGAATTTCTGGAACCACTGTTGGCATTTCCTCGCATTTAGAGCTTCCTCACCAAAAACATATTGAATGTTTTTCGTGGCTGCAGTCGCGTTATTCCCTTTCTTAAATTCATAATGCATTATATGCTGAATGTGTTCCCCTGACACCTCCATCTTGTTTTTAACGTCTAAGAAAAATGGAGCGCTATTAACTCATTAAAACTTACACGTAGACTGAAGACTAATGTCTACACAAGTTAACACAGAAATATTCCATGAGATGTACAGAGATACATGTATAAACAAGACACAAGTTTGGCAATGTGAAAAAACCGCATTACTTATGGGATGACCTGATAGATAAAACTGGGTTACATAAACTATGCAAAATACTGGCAAATATCATGTATTCACTGAGGAAAATTCCCACAATTTATCAAAATAATAAAAATCTCATTACAGCCAATTTCACTTGGCCTTAGAGGCAAGAAAGATGCTTTCCAAGAGAAAACTAAGATTTCTCACCCAGTTAAAAACAAACAAATGGATACAAAATGGGCACAATTTAACTCAACAATGAGATTAATTTTTCGAACTGAAAACCAATGCATACAGGTTTGAAAGAGTGAGGATAATTACAGTCGTGTTGCATGTTTCAAAAGTTATAGGACTGAGTTCCGCATGGCAAATGGTCGCTGAACGCAACTAATCGTACGTCAGCCAAATCTATGTTTTTCCGAGAGTTCAATCCTACTTGATGGGTATGGAGTTTTCATCCACTTCTACTTCATCATCCCTAAAACAATTTTCCGGTGACTCTGAAGGCGAAGGTTGAAACTACCAATTCCAAAGTAGGCCTACGCTTATTGCAGCCCAAACTTAGGCCCATGTCATAGGCTTGAGCTGTTGACTGACTGTAGGCCTAAGCCTAAAATACTACTAGGCATTGTATCACAGTTTCCGTATCATGCCCACGTGATGTTCATCTAGATCGCCATGTTTTCCCGATAATCGAATCTGTCGTTCTGCAAGCTTTCAGATTTAATTGTTATCTGTGCTTCGTCACTACTCAACTGCAAATTTGTTCATTGTTTCGTGCAACTTTTCAGAGTAGATTGCATGCTTCAATGAGCCTGTGGTTCAACTTGGCAATAAATATCTCTCTCTACGTCCATCATAGAGCCTATACCCATACAGCAAGGCGACATCCCAGGGATGTCCACAACTGGATGTCTTGTCCCAAGGTTTATGTGGGACATCCTAAGGACATCTTAGAGACGTCCTTTAGACATCTTCAGTCGAATTCTTATCGATATCCCTTTCGGGATATCCTTAAGACATCCTTAGTCAAATTCAAGATTCAAGATAGTGATATCAAGAGGCGATTTCACCCATTTCGATATCACGTGTCGAGGTCGAGCGTTCCTTGCTTCAGGGTATCCAGTTAAGGATGGCATTACTACATCTTCAGTCGAACGCTTCTCGATGTCTCGAAGTGAATGTCTTTTCGGGACATCTTAGGGATATATTTAAGTATCTTCTGTTAGATGCATAACTTTGACGGTAGATGTCTCCCTCCCCAATGAACACAGCTCTTACATCCCAGCTGTGTCACTGCTGTGATTAACGCGTCCAGACGAGAAAATAGCGATATGGATATAATCCTACTGTCCTGCAGCTGGGATACAGCAGCATCTCATCAGCTGCCATAAAACTGGTTATTTCCAGCAAGGATTCAGCTGGGAAGAAGCCGAGACAAGTCAGCTGAGTCAAGTCAGCACTACTACTCAGTAGTGTCCCAAGTGTTTTCCTGCTGTGATTATCCAGCAGTAATAAAGGTGATTAGTGCGTTCTGAAGAGCAGCTGTTATTCAACAGCTTGCATACAACTGGGGTGCCTCTGTTGTGAGGCAACTGCATTCCAACTGGGGAAGACCAAGAAAGAGTTGGTCTGCTTGGGTTACATCATGGAGCGAATTCTATTGGTCATTCAGATCGAAAACTACACATGGCTTCCCGCAGTGTCTTCCGTTAGGCGCAGTGCATTCTCAACGCTTGGTAATTTTAGAACCTTCGGGAGGCAAAAGGTATCTTTAAGGTTAATTTTGTGAGAAATTAAGTGGTGTATGTCGTGGTTGTGCACACTTAATTGTTCGTTATCAGATCCAGGCAGAGGTTTGGAAAATTGGCAAACTTGCGAGCCTGACTCGCGGGAAATCAGAGCTAAAATGGGCAGATGGAGGGAGAAAGATGACCATAGAGTTGATAGGGAAAGGGACGAGGAAACATCAGAGAATGTACGAAAGTCATGTGAACCGGCGCTTTCGTCGCGGCCAAAATGGTCGCGGACAAAACGTCGCATGCACTTTTGGTCGTTGCACTATTTCGTCGCAGGCTAGAGAGTCGCACGGGGGAAAGGGGTGAAAGCAAGATGAACCAAAAGGTAGAAAAGAATAGGGTCCCTGTGTTCTTTATGGGTATAAGCAGGGAAAGGGAAGGGAGGCAAAGATATTTAAAGGTAAAGAAAAACTTGACTACGAAGAGTATATTTATATTGTAGAGAGGCGAAGTTTCGATATGATAGCATGGCGATGTGAGTTGCGAAGCTGAAAGGGTAAGATGCACAAGAAATGAAGTAGTGGCCAAGTTCGACCACAATCATGCACCCAGTTCCGATCGTGTCCGACAAATGCAGTTGAGGAACTGAAAGCCGCCGTTCATAATTCTCTGGAACCCACTCGTAGACTTGGGCGAACTGCGTCTACTCCTACTACTATACTGTACTATAATGCCCTTACATTGAAAATTCAACGTTGACGCAACGTCGCACAGCATCAACTTTTCAACGTTGAGCTGTGTTTCATTTCAACATTGTGGCAACATCATGGCAACATGTTACGCTGAAAAGTCAACCTTTTCTCAACATTGAGGCAACATTGCCATCAACCTTTTTTCAACGTCGACACAACGTTGTTGTGCCGAATGGGT